ATTGCTATAAACAAATAGTTAAATCTTTTAGCACATTAGCATCAAATTATCAGTAGCAGGACTCRGAAATTGTGCAAACRACTRTAAACTGAAGCCGTRTTGTTATTAATGGATGCATTGACRGATTTAGTCGWMRCGTAGCTAATTTGGATGAAATCATATTAATCTAACAGTGAYGAGTCATCAYTGACTACTTTATAAACACAGACACATGGCTGTACACAGCAGGTGTGAGGAAAATAAGGAGGAAATGAGGAACAGGAAATAGACACGTCATGATTATGACTTTTCTCGTAATATTACGACTTTAATCTCGTAAAATGATTACTTTAATCTTGTAAAATTACGACTTTATTTTTGTAAAATTATGACTTTAAGCTCGTAAAATTCTGACTTTAATCTCGTAATATTATGACTTTATTCTCGTAAAATTCTGACTTTAATCTCGTAATATTATGACTTTAATCTCGTAATATTATGACTTTAATCACGTAATATTATGACTTTAATCTCGTAATATTGTGACTTTATTCTCGTAAAATTCTGACTTTATTCTCATGATATTACGACTTTAATCTTGTAAAATGATGACTTTAATCTCGTAATATTGACTTTATTCTCATAAAATTACGACTTCAATCTCGTAATATTAATAATAAAAATCTTGTTATGTGGTCCTACTGCTCCGTCGTAAGTTCACATTAAATTTCACTGAGAAAATGTAATTTATTATGATCAGCTGTGATGTTTAGTAAACTTGAACAAGGTTAAATCAATGTAGAAACAAGGCTGTTAGCAGTGAGCTGAAGCAACATTAAACAGTTTTAGGACAGAACTGATTAAAGTTGATATAAATAAAAGCAACTGGGTCATTACAGCAAAATTACATTAAATCTAAGATAATTAAAGGATATTTAAACCAAGTCAAATATCACAGCCTTTAAAAGAAAACAGGTTAATTTGCGTTGAAAACATTTCTCAGTCAAATTATAAAGATTTTCATAAAAACAAGGATACGGTTATTGGGATGGTAGTTTGAATTCCCTGATTATTATTGGGATAACACAAGAGAATCCTGTAATTTCACCCAACCTGCCAAACAGACTAAATTATATATCTGCTAAAATAAACACCCCCGAGATCAAACATCTAAATTTCACCCCCAGCATGACACGAGACGATCACGTTGCAAGGAAACTCGATCCGACATGAGAGGCCAGCAGTGACACTTTTACACCCTGACCAGATACGGTCACACGGAGAGTCAGCTTCGACCGCGGAGGCGAATACCTGCACGACACAAAGTCACAGAAACTGCGTTCAGACGCCCACGCTCGTCTTGTTTACACAAACGCCTCGACCGGGCGCCTCTGCCAAGTTTCTAATCCCGGTAAATACAGTCCCAGTGTGTGTGCGTCGCATCCAGAGAGCCAGTTAAACACAGGGGTCCCGTCCCGCTCCACCACAGAGGAAGGCTTTTATTTCCAGAGAAGCCCCACATTTTACAGGGACAGCTCCAGTGCTCATGTCCAAGTTGTCAAAAACCACACGTGGGAACAAATTCTACTAAAAGCAGAATCTCTTAATTTATCCTCTTTTTTTTTTTGGAGGGAAAAAGTGTTTTGCTCAGTTTAGTTTTACCAAAGATGCAAATTAAGGGGAAAAAAACATGTTTTGAATTGAAGCGTTGCCTGCAGGGATGTAACGCAAGTCCACACTTGGTATGTTCCTTAATGAGCGCTGCCTTACCAGGGGGCAAGGAGGGGCTCTGCTCCTTACATATAAACAAATACGTTCTGACCTTCTTCCTTACAGAGATGAAAAAAGTGTCACTAATGTGTTTTCTGATTTATATAACCAAAAATACTTACAGCGTATTACTTTTAATGGTTCAGGCCATAGTGGAGGATTTTTTTCCAACAATTTTGAGAAAAAAAATAAAGAATTCTGGGATTTCAGTCATAATGGTGCGGTTGCGGTGCAGTGGTAGGGCAGACGACTTCAGACCAGTCTTGGGTTCGATTCCCTGCCGTGTCTACATGACGTGGTGCCCTTGAGCAAAACACCTAATCCCCAAACTGCTCCACGTGCGCTCACGCGACAGCCCGCTGCTCCACTTGAGCATATCTCACGTCCATTTGACTTATGTTGAGTCAAATGAGAGCACAAATACATGCATTAATGACATTACATTATAAAAATAATTAAAAATAAAGTCAAAAAGCTCACTTAATCTCAGAATTCTGACGCTTTCCTCAGAAATCTTTGACTGAAGTCAGATTTTATGAACTAAAAAAGTCAAAATTCTGACTCATTTTCTTATAATTCTGAGAATAAAGTCAGAATTATGACTTTAACATTAGCATACAGAGAAAAAAAACTGACCATGATCC